AAAAGCGAACGTCAGGCGCTTTGTTAAGCCAAGGTCTTCAATGTTATTGAAGAAGACCCCATGCATTGGCTTATCCCTGTGTCTCCGCAGAAGTAAGGTGATCTCTGCGGCTTTTATCTGAGCTTTTTGCTGAACGGGTTCCAACTCGGTGACAGAGTTGTAGTCACCTCTATTATTATTATTATTATTATTATTATTATTATTCTGGAAAAAGTCAGCAGACTGACTGAAAAATATCTAAAAATAATCACCTATTATGAACTGATATATTATTATCAATGTCATCATATCTTATTTAAGTGAATCCGTTGAAGTTTCCAATGTTCTTTTCATATGTTTTCTCAATATAAAAGTTGCATATCTCTAACGGGTCCATATCCTTCTGGTCGGTAGCTAAAGCTGTTAATCATAACTTTACTAAACCCACAATTCCACCACTAACACACACTGGAATTCACAATGCCGGAAATCACTTTTCGACAGCGTCTTTTGTTACTTTAATAATTCACTTGTTATTAAAATGGCATACACAAATGAGGAAATGGCTGATATGCATTACGTTTACGGTCTGTCGCAGGGGAATGGGTTAGAAGCTTCTAGAAGATATGCTGAAATGTATCCTCAACGGCAGCATTCTTCACATAGAATATTTGCTCGACTTCATCAACGTTTACGAGAATATGGTTCACTCGACAAAAGTACGCAGGATTGTGGTCGCTATCGAGAAGTACGAACACTACAGCTTAAGAAAGCATTACTTAATTTGATTGAAGAACAACCTACTACCAGTATTAAAAAGATCGCTTTCCAGCTAAATGTTGATCATATGACAGTATTTTGAATTTTAAAGGAACAACTCTTATACCCTCACCATCTGCAACGAGTACAGGCATGCACTGTTACCGCGAGACTTTCCGAACCGTCTTGAATTTTGCAATTGGATGCTGGAAATGATTCGAAGAAATTGTGACTTTCTGAAGTTGATAGAATTCACAGACGAATATAGTTTTTCTCGGGAAAAGATTATTAATTTTCATAATCACCACATATAGGCTGATGAAAACCCTCACGCTATTGTCGAAACTAACCATCAAGAACAGTTTTCTCTTAATGTGTGGCTCGGAGTTATTGGGGATGATTCAATTGGGCCTCGTTTTCTACCTCCTTGAATAAATGGTGAGGCATACGTTCAATTTTTAAGAGAAGTGCATCCAGTACTGCTGGAGGAACTTCCGTTGGGCGTTAGAAGGGATATGTTTTTTTATGCATGATGGGGCTCTCGCCCATTTTAGTCAAGTAGCACGTCAGCATTTAACTGAAACATATGCAAATCAGTGGATAGGTCGAGGAGGACCACAGAACTGGCCCGCTCGATCCCCGGATCTCAATCCTCTCGATTTCTCTA